TCATATAGAGCAGTGGTTCTCAACCTCCCTAATGCTGTGATCCTTTAATACAACTCCTTATGTTGTGGTGATTCCCAACCATAAGATTATTTTGTTGCTACAGAGCTATAATTTTGCTGCTGTTATGAATTGTGATATAAATATCTGATATGCAGGATATCTGCTCTGTTGACCCCTGTAAAAGTGTCATTTTATCTCTAAAGGGGTCATGACCCACAGGTTGAGAACTACGGAAAGAGAGCTAAAAGGAAACCTATAAGGATATTTGTAGGTCTTGATGAGTCTAACACTAATGGACTGACCAAACCCATACTTGGTGTTGCTAGTGAATGTTCTGCTGGCTTGCATCTAGTATTCTAATGGGGAAGGGTTACAAAGTGACACTCAGAAAGGATTCTTAGGCTTGGCTACTGTGCTAGCTCCCCTAAGTGTAAACTTGTTCTTTTTCAGATATCTGTGTCTGAGAAGCCAGGGGATCAGGTTGTTTAAGTCCACTTCTAATAGCACCATGCTTGGTAAAATGGTGCAGCTTAACAAAGTAGATCTTGGTTCTTCAGACTTCAGTGGGGTTACTAAAGCCACTATTACTTTGTGAATGATTTAGGCTGTTTTCATATACATAAAAACGAGAATGGCTTTAAGTTCTTGGCTGTCTCCTGCACATCCTGCAGATGTAGCTATTCTGACCAGCTTCTTTGGACCCCTCAAACCCCACTGAATGCTTTCTGTGTGTTTCCTGGCCAGTTGTGTGGTAATCCTCAACTCACACCCCCATCTTTGAAATCAGAAACTGTTGTTTGTTTGTTTCTGTAATTCCACCACCTGAAACAGTCTAAGGCTGGGCATTTGACAGTAGATACATAGAGTCTTGGGTTCTACCATATGCCAGCTCCTATAGTTCTGTTTAGTTGATTGGTTTATTTTTCAATTATTTGTGTGGCTTACAGCTCTGGTTAGGTGATTGTTTTCACTCAACTGCAATGGTATTAGAGGCAGTAAGATTGTGAGTCATGGGGATTGACTTGGGTTACAAGTGTAAATAAAATACACAATTTCTTTACAAACGATATATCTCAGCTGTGGTGAAAGTAATCTGTTCATGTGACAATAAATTATAGATGTAAAAGGGGCCACAGCCATCATGTGTCTGTGTGCCACTGTGCATGTATGAAGGAGGCCTGGCATGACAGGCTCAGGTTTAGATGAAGAGGAAGATAGCAGGTAGAACTGGAAGATAGGGGATGAAGAAAGCATCCTGCATTTGACTTGCATTCTCCTGACTCAGTCTCTGATTATTCAGCCACAAGCTTCTTTTCATTCATATATGTATGCACATATATGTCTGTGTGTGTTTGTATATTTATGCTACTTGGATATGGGTATAAAACAAAGATTTAAGGAGATGTGATCCACTAGAATTAGTATTCTGCCTAATAGATACTTTCCACATGCTATACACCCAGCAGGTTCTACTTTTTATCATGTTTTCATGCAGAATCTAACTGATCACAACAAGAAGCTTAGACACCAGCTTTGCTCAGTGAGAATGGTGTTTCCTTCCCCATCTAAGAACTGGGCTAGTCACATGACTTGTTAATCATAGAAAGGCAACTCTAGAATCCTGGATTCTTGATGCTGATCCAAAGAAGTGTCCTGGTCAGGTATACAAATGAGTAGCTAAGTTAAAAGCAAAGTCTGACAACCCTAGTAGTTGCCCCTCAGCCAAGGTCCCTCTTGCTAAGCTCCCAGAGACTGTTCATGCTCATCTTGCAAGTTGTTATACTGAAAATCAAACTATCAATATGGGGCCGATGACTGGTACCTAGTTATCACTCTCTTGGGCCTTCATGCCTCACAAGGCTACTCTAGGCTCATTAAATTTCACAGTTTTCATAGCCACCATCTGTTCATTACAAGGAATTACCATACCATTCCAGGACTCTAACACATTTTCCACTAAGCACTTTATAAATTCTACGTTATACAGGCTCTCCGCAGAATTAGCGTACAGGAAAGTCAATTTTGTTATTCTTTAATTGTGTTTTTACTCCAAAGCCTTCATTTAGAAGATTCCAGTATGGTCCTGTTCAACAGCCTTCCAATATTCCTGTTCACAAAAAAAGAGAGCAGCCATACTCTAAATCATTTTAAGTCATTCATGGTAGCTGGCAGTTAGGATGTGACTCCTCACATATAATAAACTTCCCATCCTGGAAACCTTCACAACATAACAATTTCGTCAAAAATTGGAGAATTTAAATGTAAAGACTTAATCTTGAGAATTGCTCACATTCTAGTGAAGTGGAAAGTTCAACTCTTCTTTTAAAGAAAGTTCCTTGAAAGCTATAGTTTACATGTAGCTCAGGCTAGTTGAATTCAGCTTCTCCATAATTCAACTCATTATTATTCTCACATTTTTTTTTCTGCTATGAGTTACTATCCACTCCCTATGTCAAGTGTCAAGCTTCCTAGAGGACATCTGACCTAGTCTTGTCATCCCCCCCCCCCCGCCACGTGATCATATATATCTGGTTGGTGAGGGATCAGGGTGGCTTTGTGTCTTATTGATTGTGAACAAGGCATCCTTTCACTCTTGTGGCAGCCTCGTCCCCCTCCTGCCTCAATGCCCCAGTCCATTTGCTTGCTACAAACAGAAAGATCCTTCTGCAGTTATACAGCATGCTCTCTGCTGACCTGAAGCTCTGCAGTGGTTTTCAAAGTGAGTTTTAGATCAGTCACACAGTTCTACACATCACCGACACACTCATTTCTTCTCCAGCCTCAGCATTTCTTCCTAAACCTTGGTTCTTCAGGACTCAATCTTGAATCCTCTCCCAGGAGATGTTAACCTAATCCTGAACCTGGCTTTGGAATCCTGCTCTGAGCCCATGGTACCCATGACTCCCCCAACATTGGACCTGACACATGGGTTGTATATGATACTTGTGTCACTGTCTTGTTCGCTCCATATGAGCTACATAAAACCTGTTCCTTGTTATATTCCTATGCCTTGAATAATGCTAGCTCATTATTCTCAGTAAATATGTGTCCACTGAAGAAAAAGTTACTTTGGAAGAACATAATGAAGAGACAGGAGAAGTCTTTAATAGACTTTACAGTTGGTTTCCCAAATGATACTTCCTGGAACCCCATATGAAGTGGAGACATGGTCCCTGGGCTAACTTCTTAGCTGGCACTGGTTGATGGAGTCCTCAGTTCCTAAGTGCTTTATCGTGGATGGGGAAAAAGGAAACTCGAGTGTAAGCCTATGCAGTGTCCTTTGGACTTTGGAGCTAGTCAAATTGAGTTGACTCTCTGAGACTCAGAATCTGCCATCGATCAACAGAGTGATAATGACCTTGAAATGTATACAGGAAGTTGTATGTGAAACCACCTACCATAGTGCATAGAACATAGTAGGTGTTTGATTTTCTGGATGACAATGCATGAGAGTTGTAAAAACTGGCATTTAATCTTGCTCAAGGCTTTTCAATTATCTTTTTCAAGAATTCAAGTCATTGTAGGGGATATGATTGAACAATCCATCTTAGTGTCTTCATTCTGTTCTGAAAACTAACCACAACCAGAATGACTTGGCATCCCTCCCTCTGTTTTTTCATCATCAGCATCCCTCAGCATTCCTTCTCCCCTTCCCCCGCCCCTTCCTTCCCTGTTTCATCCTCTCTCTCCCTCCCTCTTTCCCCACCCACACCCACATGTGTTCACTTACTTCTATCAGTTCTACTGTTTCTTATCCACTTCCTAATTTCTCATCTGTTCCTCCTTTTGTATCTTTAAAGATATTTAATTTAACATTAATACAAAGATATATAATATGGTTGGGTTCAATCAACTCACCACCACCCCAGTACCTCTCCTGTCCCCCTGCCTTTTCTTTGCCACTTCTTTTGTATCTTATCCTACTGAAAATGGTCAAGGAAATGGGTAAGTCTGTCTCCAAGGTAGTTTTTATTTTTATGATTAGTTGCTGCTATTCTTGTTGTTTGTCTGGTTTTTGTGTTGTTTTGCATTAAAGGATCTTGAAATAGTTTTGAATTATATTTATAAAATTTATATTGAGACTGCAGAGAAAAGGACATCAGTGTTTTTACCCTAACACGTAATTTCACAGCTGTCTTCCATTTGAAGTGCAAGCAAGTTTCCCCCTTGGCTGTGTTACTTTTCATGGATTTCTAAGGCTTTCAGACTGTAAGCTGTGGTTATGGAGGGTTTGGAGGTTTTTTTTTCCCCTTTGTAGACATACTTTCTGGTCAACAAATGGATCTTATGAACACAATATAATAATCAGTGGCAGGAAAACTCCATTTCCTTCTTCAAGCAGCCCACTTTTTATTCTTCAGCTTTTATCTCCCCATGTGAGTGGCCTACTGAATGCAGTTAAGACTTCTCCACTGACCTGGCATCCTTATCAGGTGTCCCTACAGGTTCCAGGACAGAAAAATCCAGTGTAGCTAGAGTTTTCCTGCTTTGCCCACAGTCAGGACAAATCTTTGTCACCTGCCAGTCCCACAGCCGCTCAGACCCAACCAAGTAAACACAGAGACTTATATTGCTTACAAACTGTATGGCCGTGGCAGGCTTCTTGCTAACTGTGCTTATAGCTTAAATTAATCCATTTCCATAAATCTGTACCTTGCCACGTGGTTGGTGGCTTACCGGCATCTTCACATGCTGCTGGTCATGGCGGCGGCTGCAGTGTCTCTCTGCCCCAGCCTTCCGCTTCCCAGAATTCTCCTCTCTCCTTGTCCCACCTACTTCCTGCCTGGCCACTGGCCAATCAGTGTTTTATTTATTGACCAATCAGAGCAATTTGACATACAGACCGTCCCACAGCAATCCAGAGCACTAAAATTGGGTGAGCCACCAGGAGAGTCACCTGAGAGGTGTCTGTCATATGGGCATCTTTGAAATACAGCCAGCTTGATCTTCTGCATGTCTGTTTAGTGCGAGAGCATCATCTTCTCTACATTGGCACTTACCTGACTTGTATCCAGTAATGAGACCATAGGTTGCTAATGCTGAGGAACATAGCTGTTGCAAGGCTCCCCAAACAGCAGAAGGGACACCATCAAAGAACTGCTGTCATGACCTCATGTCTCCTTTTGAGAATATGGCATTTTCTATTAAAGAAACAGAACTTATGAAAACTGTTCAGTTTAGATTTTGATTTTAGATTATGCTTTTTTTTTTAATTTTCCAAGCTGATTTCCAACAATATTCCATTATATATGCACCCTGAGGTGATGCCATACAAAGTACTACTGGAAAACAGTTCTCTAGTATTGTGGGTCTTCATAGACAGCTTTTTGCAAGCCATGGGAATTGTGAGTATTATGGTCACTCTCCTACTAAGGGACCTACAACCATCCACCTCAGCACAGTTGGCCATGCTAATTGTACCTTAATTCAGAGGAAGATAGAACTTTGCATTGCTAATTGCCCTTGAATTCTTTTGTAAACACATAGTTCAGCAAGAAATCTTTGTCCCATTTCTGTGGCTTATTGCATACCGATCTTAACTTTCCTCTTCTCCTCTTTGGCTTTCTGTGAGTGGGAGTGGAAAATTCAGTGCATTCTCTGTACTGCCACAATTTAGAGCATTTTTCTTATGTGTGTGATCTCAAATACCTTTTCAACATCTCTCTGGAAAATTGAAACAAAAACTTGGAGGTGGGGAAAGCAAAGGGAGAGAATTCTACCAGTGGGTAGAATCTACAATATCATTTGAGCTAGATTTCAATTTTCTACTGTTATTTCTAATATAATCTTTAGGTGTTTTACTTGCAAGATTGACTTTTTCCTAGATAATTGTAGCCACCACAGAACAGGGCATTCCCTCTGTGTGATTGAATGGTGTTTTCATTGTGCACCTGTAATTCAATGAAGCAAAAAGACAAAGGCTTGTTTATAGGGGAAGATGCACTGGACAGAGCCAAAGATGAAAAATGAATGCTTTTATTAACTTTTGCATTGTGCTGGGTTGAAGATTTTGTCTGTTTCTGGTGTTGCTACAGCATCATTCAGCTTATCTCAAGGTCAGCAAAAATATAAAAATTTCTGTGTTTTGATAAAGTGGTGTCTATTGCTTTATACTTGGAAAAAACTTAGATAAATGCTGTTAGAAAAAAGTTGATAATTCCATCTTGAAATAAATAACTTTGCTTCCTCAAGGCAGACAAAGAGCAGATAATTCTGCATCTCTTTTCTTTACCTTTGGGAATGAAATATCAGGAAAACAGATCTCTAATATTAAAGTATATCAGAGTATAGACCATTAGAGATATTGAGGTAAAATTATTTTAATCACACTGGCAGGACACTTTGTCAAACCGGAAATTGATTTTAGCAAGAAATGTGTGAACACCTCGATTACCAGATTGCTTGCTAGCTGTATTGGGAAGAGGCAAAAGAGAGGCACATCAGGCAGAAAGATTAATTTGGTTCTTGGCTATAATCAGAGAAATTGCTTTTCATTTTTTTAAGAGGAGACTCATTTATGCTATATTATATTGAGGCTTTATTGATGTGTTTGCTAGATTTTGCATTTCCTAAAGATAGACCACTTAGTCATATAGATTGTTCTTCTTTGAAGAGAAATATGTTCAGATGATAGGTAGGTAGTATGTCCAGTAAGAGGTAGTATATATCTGTCATCTATGGCCATGATACTGCTGTATAACAAATCACTCCAATCTTGCTATGTATTGCTATTATGTATATAAATGATAAGGTATTTGGAGATTATCTGGGGTGCATGGGTCAGTTAGTCATTCCAGAGTTAGGCCTTCAAGGCTGTCTCACAGCACTCTCATTGTTTAACTAGTTTGGCTTACGATACTTTGAATAAGATTACTGATATTAGCCACAGAAGAAAAGTGTCTGTGAAAAGACAAAGTAGGTCACTCAACATGATTGTATACAGCTATCACTGCCTTTGATGAATTAATTTTTAGCTGAAATTCTAGGTTTTCTGGGTTTGCAGTCTAGCTGTACCCAACCAGTAGTTTCCACTTAGAAAAGTGGCCCAGTCTCAGAGCCTTGCTTCTGACATGAACAACAGACACATGACTAGATTAGGTCCTAGTTGAATGCCAAACATGGAAATGTTGGCTAACTTTTAAAACAATGAGGCTGTGTGGCTGTGAAAGTTCAAAATCCAAGTCTGTGGCTATATTCTCAGCCTGTTTAGAACAGAATCAGGTGATATATTTATAATTTTTCTCAGTTAAGGGCAGGATCATCATCAATTTATCAAATGGTATATTTTGTATATCAACCTATATACATATAAATAATTCAAAGAATGCCTTTATCAAATTTTCTTGTTTGAAGGAGTGCAGGGCTTGAACCAAGAACCTTGTTTGTCTAAGCATATGCTCTACTACTGAGCTCAGCCCCCCAGTCTGTAGTTTTCTTTCATTTTGGCATTCATTTATAGTTGTGGTCATAGCACTAGTCAAGATAAATTATATATATATATATATATATATATATATATATATATATATATATATCATATAATATAGAGCTACAAGCAGCATTCTTATTTGGAAAGTAAGGTGTGAACTTCTGTTGGACAGGGGGTGTTCCTGCGGCTGGTCATCCCTCCTGTAGAGATAACCTGGAAGGCTGATAAGACAACACAAGCTTCCAGGAGCTCTTGGCTCTGGTTTGTAACTATAGTAAAGGAGATGGGATGTTTTTCTCATGAAGGCAGAGTACTGTCTCCAATATGCAAACAACAGTTTGCTGTGGTTTCAGTGCCCGCCAAGTGTTTGCTTTCAGATGGGCAAAGGCTTGTTTTGCTTTCTGTGACCACCTGGTATATTTATGTTTTTGGAATTCACAGATTTTGAGACTGTCATTTTGTAGAATTCAAAGTCAACTACTTCTCCTAATAGATGTAAAATCTCAGGCAAGAAATGAAGCTATCTGAGAAAGATCCAGTCAGGAAACAAGGGAACTTAATATAATTTCAGTCTTACTTGTATGCATATTATATATTTATATATGTGTTTTTCCTGCATTGCAGATGTTTTAATTGACAGAAATCTGCCTTCCATCCATATGTGGTTCTATACCTTTAGGTTTACAAATACTCTGCTAGATTCGTGTGGCACAGGCTTCTGCTGCTAGAAGCCATTGATAACTAAAGCACCACTTTAAATAATTTATTGTTTTACAACAGTTATATTTGGAACATTGGACAGCATAAAAACAAAGCTATGTTTTGGCACTACAACCATCTATTGAACACTATTGTTACTTATAAAGAAAACTCTCAAATGGCTCCACACTAAAGTTTGGGTTGCTTTCGTTATTCTGAGCCCACTATCAACATTTGCAGGGAGCCAACTGCTGCAATTTTAATTGAACACCATTTCCTTTTACATTAACTCAAGGCCAGGGAGCCTCTAGGTAATTCTCAGGCCAGGTTTATCTCCCTCCCGAAAATGAGCTCTACTTCCAGGTAAAATTAGACGATAAATTACCAAGTAAATTTAATTCATGGATGAAGGCTTCAGGGGAGAAAATGGACCAACATGAAAATCTGCTTTAAAAGCAACATGGGCTTTATCCATCTCCATTTGTTTTTTTCTCCCCAAGCTAAGGTCCGTCTGACAGCAATTAGATGGGAAGGTGCCTGGTAGCAGAATAGCTGGTCAATCAGCTCCTGGGAGAAGCAGGATCTGTTACAAGATCTTACTGCTAGCAAAAAGGGACTCTTCAAAATAGAATACTTAATTGAAGAGTTTTCTTCTATATCCATTTCTATAAAGATCTGAAATTTTTTGATTAATATATATTATTAATTTGTTAATATATTATATTAATTCATTCATTCATATATCTATGTGCATTTTTCTAGGACCCACAAGAAGCTGATTTTGAACACCCCTCTGAGAAGTTGTAATTCTTAGTCCACATATATGTACAATCACTAAATTCATGAACTGTGTTTACTCCTTTTGTTGAGGAATTAATTGGGCATTATGATGTTGTTTAAACACATCAGCAACATTTGGAGGAAGGATGAGGAGGGTGGGCACTTCCCAATGTCCTTGGATAGGATGACAAAGAGAAGTAAAAACTTGTGGGACTCTGAGCCCTTGGTGCCCTGTCTCTCAGCTGAACTTGAGTAATAAAGTATGTTCTAGCCAACTAGGCAACTAGGACTTTTCTGAAGGAAGATCCCTGGTCAAGACATGGTTTTAGATGGTGAGTAAATCAACTGAGGTCATGTTGCAAAAGGATTGCAAAAACATTGTTAAATGCAATACATGGTAGAAAGGAAGAGAATTGAGGACTCCTGAAAAATCTACATTGGTCTATAAGTCTGGCCTACACCAATTTATGACAGAGGAAAGATGAGGAAAATGTGGTGTATATATGCATATCCATATCCATGTATATACATATCCATCATACACACACACACAAACACACACACATGCACACGAGCACACACACACACACACACACACACACACACACACACAGGTGTGCGTGCATACTCACATGCATACAGTAGAACTTTTCTGTCCATAAAGAACTGACTAATGTTTGCAGGAAAATAGATGCAACTGGAGAATTCTGTTAAGTAAAATAATCCAGTCTAGGAAAGACCAGCATCTCATTTTCCTACCATTTGTAGTTGCTAAATTTTACACAGACAGGTAAAATTGTGTATGTATATATTGACATGAACTCTTTTATAAATGATTTCACTAAATCTGTATGTAGTCTCAGTGTTGGTGAGGAAGAGATGAGAGGGTCCCTGGGGTCTGCTAGCCAGCCAGCCAGCCTAGCCTAATCAGTAACTACAGATAAAGCAAGAGAAGCTTCTCAAAGAAGAGCAATTGAGGAAGATACTTAACATCAACCACTAGGATCTACACATAGACCCTCACATGTACATGTGTACATACATACATGCATACATGCACACATACATATATTCTATGATTCAGATAATAACAAGCAGTCAGAAACTTCAGTGCCCCAATGGTACTGTTATCAGCTCTCTTTATTCCGCATGTTTTTCAGTTTTAATGAGCTAAATTTGTTCTGTTAACTTTTTGTTACTTTTGTCTTCATCAAAATTTAGGGAGATCTTACTTCCTAATGCAGTAGGAAGAAGAAAAGCAAAGAGTTTCACACCTAAATAGTCACTGAGAGTAAAGTCCATAGAGTCTTGAGATGGGACATTCTATTCTAAGATTCCTAATGGCCACATTTTTTTTTTGTCTCTGTGGTGACCTGTGTATAGGTATACTGTGTAGCTATGCCAGCATACATGAACACATTTACACACTATGTTCAGGTGCAGTGTTTATGTAGAGGGACCATAGCTTCATAGGAGCTTTCCGAATGAATACACCACTATTTGGCAGCTACAAAAAGGCAATGTTGATAAGGATCCATAATGCAGTTCAACAGAACCCAAGAACATCTCTGAATACGTACAGTCTATCTGAACTCCTAATAAGGATCTTGCAGCGACAGCAATCTTGAACCTTCTGCGTGCATCATAGGACCAGGATAGCATCAGATCCCTGCTGGAGAAGCCTATCTATCCATTTTGACAACCAGAGAATTCTCCAGGGCTTTCTTCTGTCATAGCCCTTGTTCAGCATTGTGATGTGGAAGGGAGATGTGTGTTCTAATGGGGAATTCACCGACAGGGATGATGCACTGTTGTTTGTCTGCCTGGAGTCTTACAGCCTCTTCTGATAATGCTTCAGGGACCACACTTCTGTGAAGAGACACAATAGCAGATAACCTGAAAACTGGGATCTCTTACATCAGAGGAAGATTTATAGACAAATGGCTTTACTGTTTGGGCATGTTTCCATAGTTTCTTTCTGCAATCAATATGTATAGGGCTTTGACTCCATGGAGTTCATTATACATATGAGATGCATGCAGATATAAATGTTAATCTAAATACAGTATATGTGTGTTTATCTATATATCTATATCTAGATAGATGATAGATAGATAGATAGATAGATAGATAGATAGATAGATAGATAGATAGATAGACAGACAGATGACAGATGACCCCCAAGGTGATAATGAAGTAAAGTAGTTCTTAGGATACTTGGTGCTTCCAGGAAAACATGGTTTAACACCATGCCCCTGTGGTGGTGCAGCAAATGTTCTCAGAGTTATATGTGTTCTGTGTATATGGCTTTGTGTGATTTTCCCCTCTGAATTAAAAATAGTATAAAGATGGTAAAAGGCTTTTGTGATCTGAATGTAGTGAAACCAGGCCCAAGACTTCCAATCGGTTAAACTTATAAAAGAAATTACAATATGTCTCCCACACAATAGTAAATTCCTGGCTACCTGGTCCCCTAACACTCAGCTACTAGGTTGTCAGAATCCATTTGGGAGAATGATTCTTTTATGGCGTGTTTCTGCTCTTTCGCTAGTTTTGCCTTGCAATTCAAATAAATTCAGGCTTCTGACCAGGACTGCCATTATCATCGGTTTTATTCATCATCATTCTGGACATTCTGGGCAATCAAGAGAGATGTAAAACAAAATGAAATACAAACGTTGGAAAGAACATATAAACAGTCTTCATGGAAACAAGAGTCAGAGAAATTAAATGGGTCATTTGTGAAGGAAGCCATATGGATCACCAAAAAGCACACAAAAGTACACCATCTTATAGGCAACTAAAACACTAATAGGACAACACTTTTTATTTGTCAATTTAGTGAAGGTGGTAACAATGACAGCTACCCTTGTTGAAAAGTATCTGATATCTGGAAAGACTGTCATATGTAATTATGGGATATGGCATGGATTAGATGTCCCAGAAGGGCAATTAAATATACATATCAAAATCTTAAACATTTTCATGTTGGTTGCTACAGCAAAACTGCTTCTAGGAATTTGCCATAGGCGTCTCTCTTTGCATTGCTAAACACTTTGAAAATCTAATGAAACCACTGAATCCTCTCTTGGAAAGATATAAGCATGTGATGCAACCAAATCTGCATTTAATCTCTTACACTGTATAGGGATTGACAAACTCCAGCAAAATGGTAATTACTCATAGCACGTGAATTACTGTGACAATTGGAAGAGATCCATAAAGCTCAAATCTGTGTAACTCCATATTTAATAGATTCCATAAGTAAAATTCTGTCCAAATGTATTGTATTCCTTTTTTTAAAAATTTATTTACTTTAAAAATGTTGAGACAGGTAGCTTAAGTAGTCCAGGATAGCGGGGAACTCTTTATGTAGTTTATGATCTTAAACTCCTGGTCTTGCTACCTCTGCCTCCTAATTGTAAGCAAGGTATATGTAACCACACACTAACATACCTCATACTGATAGAAAAGAAAAAATGATTGTCAGGATCCAGTCTACAGTGGGATGAGTCTCATGGGTGTCTTTAACCTGAAGATTTTCATTCTTTCTTTTCCTTTATATTTTTAAAGTTTAAGCAATGCCCTTGGGGTAACTGCTTTCTCATTGTTGGGACAGAATACCAATGGGACAACTCGATGAATAAAATGTTTTGTCTCACTTGTTTCAGCCCTTCGTATCAGGAAGAGCATAGTGTTGTTTGGTTTATGGTGCCAGGAGAGCTTTGATGGCTCTTCATCAGGCAGGAGACAGGGAGTATAGACAGCTAGACCTGAATTTAGGGGTGTATTTCAAAGTTCTGACCTAAAGTCTCCACAGTCTTCAAAATAGTGCCATAAGCTCGGGAACTAACATTCAAAACCTGAGCCTTTGGGGGACATTGCAGCTTCAAAGTATAGCACACTCACCATCCCCATTTGAGTTTGTCCTGCTTTTCCTTGATAAAGTTTGGGTGACAGGCAGCTAGCACATCTTTGCGGCATCTGTTACTGTACCATTTGATTGGTGTCAGATTGTCCCCTGTAAATGTATCTCTCCATTCATAATTACTAAATTACTAAGAATCTCTTGGCAAAGTGCCTTGTGCCTTTGTGAATATTTATCTCCTCATCAAGCAGCCATCCCTAGTTTTAACATCTATTGATTTTTTTTTAACTGAAAGGTGGCTGCCGCCTTGTGACTTTGTAGTTTCATCACCTCTATTACCTTTCTTAATATCATGAGAACTTCACTTTTTCTTCCAGTTGTTCACTCATTTATGAAAATAAGAACTGACCTTGATTCTCATTGTGTGTAATTGCCTTCATCATCATAAATATTGGTAGCCAGACAACCCTTGTTTGGTCAAGAGATCCTTCATGCTGCCGCTGTCCTTTAGACACACCATAGTCATCCTATCTTCCTACTTTCTGGCACAGTGCAATGTTTTGGAATGGTCTCAGTTTTTACTGTTAGTCCTGGAACCAAGCAGGCCTTTTTACTGCAGGCATGCCACTGTTCACAGGGTACTGGACACAGCTAAGAAACATGTGTACATGTGTGTGTGAACCCATGTGAACGAAACCTACCTGTGTGTTGATACCAGTATCCATCTGTCTACATACATTGAAAGCCATGGATTAATTTTAATTCCTCAGACCCTCCAGGATTTTGCCTTCCACATTGGCTTCCAACAGGGAGAAACTTAGCTCTTCATTTGCTATTTTAACTTGCAGCTCTAAGCAAGCACAAAGTAGGTACAGGACCTCACGTCTTCACCGCTTTAAAAAGCAAACAGCAAATAAAATTTCCTTTGCCCTGTAGTTTTTCTTGCATAAGCCTGAGGACAGGATATCTGAGTGAAACATTGTTTTGTTTTGTTTTGTTTTTTGTGGCCCCTTCACTTTGGTTTCTTGTTTCTTTTGCAGTCAGTGAGACTCTCCCGGTTTTGTTTTTGTTTTTCTTATTAAGAAATTTTCTATTCATTTTACATACCAACCACAGATACTCCCCTCCTCCCTCTTCCTGTCTCCCAGCCTTACCCCCAACCCTCCTTCAAGTCAAGGTCTCCCATGGAGAGTCAGCAGAACCTGGTACATTCAGGTGAGGCAGGTCCAAGCCCTGCACGCTGCACTAAGGCTGCGCAAAGTGTCACACCTAAGGCACTGGGCTCCAAAAAGCTGGCTCATGCTTTTGATGATGATCCCCCAAACAGTTCAAGCTAAACCTATTTAGAGGGCCTAGTCCAGTACCATGGGGGCTCCTCAGCTATTGGTCCACAGTTCATGGGTTTCCACTAGTTTGGCTGGCTGTCTCTATACTTTTTCCCATCATGATCTTGATGTCCCTTGCTTATAGAATCCCTCCTCTCTCTCATCAGTTGGACTCCTGGAGCTTGGCCTGGTGCCCAGCTGTGGATCTCTGCTTGTTTTTATCCCACTTTGAACTTTCTCCCCATTCCTGTTGCCTGTATTAATTTCAGTTTCCCCTGATTCTAAAAGCTGGCATTTCCCTAAGTGTTTGCTCTGTTCTCACATCACTGTGAGATTTAAATCCCATTACCAGCCACCCCCTGTTGGAAACCAGTCCCGGTTCTTTTTGGGTTTCCTTCTTTCTAACTGAGCAAATTCATAAAAATATGTGCCTTTACTTCCTCTTCTTGTTTATACAGAGCAGTAACTTTTTGGTTTGCTTTGATTAACATTATAATATAGCCCATAAGTCATTATGAATAAATTCCTTCTCATAGTATACTATAGTACATATAATATATTTTTGTAATAGCATCTTAGATGAATGTAGTGTAATTTATTAAAAAGCTTTGTTTTATATGAGCATGAAGGTTTTTATGTGTTTTATAATCATAAGTGATGATGTAATGGATAAAGTCATGACGGCGCATTCCTTTATCTCTGGCAAATCCCTAGCTGTAGCATTGCTAAGGAAGAAGGCAGAAGGGAATTGCACATGAACAATTCCATTCTAAAGTGTCATGCCAATCATCAATCATTTGCAATCCAATCACCCAAAAACGAGAGTGACCTCCTATTCTTGACGTCAAGAAAGCAAGCAAGGAGCAGTATATTGGAGGATTTGAATGGAGAAAAGGGAGAGGAAACATGATGGAATTATACCCCCAAAATTAAAAAAAAAAACAACAACAATTCTTTGAAAGATTAAAACAAGAAAGGTAGTAAAAAAACAGAAGACCAAACCAAGTGTGGCTTTTACAATATTTCTGCTCCATCTTCTGTGATTTTTCTGTGAGGTTTACATATAAGGGTTATATTGTAGATATATCTGTTGAGGTTGGGGACCCCACAGTTCCTTATTCTTTTGATAAATGTGGATCTCTCTAATAGTCTTTATCATTGAAAATGGGAGCTTCTTTGAGAGAAGGATTGGGAGCTATACGTACTTATCTGTGGGCATAAAGATAAGCATTGCAAAATTATGTTGATTTAGGATAGTGACAGCAGTAGCTTCTCCTCTCAGGAACAGACCTAGCTTGGAAAAAAGGGAATAAAAAAATCAAGTTTTAACAAAACTTCAGTGAAAATGTTTGTCAAGTTTTCATTTGAACTTGCCTTTACTGCTCTGGAATACATGGCAATTCATGATTGTTTAGTATCAGTACCTCTCCTTTTTGATGTCTACCTCCACAGGACAACATTAAGAGCTACGGACCTTATAGCCGATTGCTTTGTGTATTTATCACTTCTTACACCAATATTGTACCAATGTTAGTCTTTTCAAGAATTGAGTGCCTTATGTGGTCTCTTTCTGATAAGCTGTATGCCAAGGGAAATGAATAGAAAATATTCCAAGGTCTGATACTGGGAACGTTTTCCCCCTATCACAGAGCCTGTCCCCTGAAACCATTCCTCAGGGTGACTCTCAAGCAGTGTGCTTGATAATTGATTTATCATTAAGAAAATATGTCCCTCCGAGGGCCTACAGCAGGCTTCTGAACTTCTGTCCCACTTTCAATATACCCCACTGATGAGGAAGC